TTTTTTTTTTGGTTTTGTTTTTTTTTTGGTTTTGTGTTGGGGTGGGGGTTTTGGGTTGGGTTTGGTGCTTTTTTGGGGTTTTTGGTTTTTTGGTTTTTGGGTTTTGGGGGAAGGGGTGGGGTTGGGTGGGGGGTGGGGGGTTTTTTTGGTTGTGTTTTTTTTTTTTTTTTGGTGTTGGGTTTGTTTTTTTTTTTTTTTTTTTTTCCCTTTTTTTTTTCTTTTTTTTTTTATTTTTAATTTATTTTTTTTTTTTTTTTTTTTTTTTTTTTTTTTTTTTTTTTTTTTTGGGTTTGGGGGGGGTTTTTTTTTTTTTTTTTTTTTTTTTTTTTTTTTTTAAAAAATTTATTTAAAAAAAAAAAAAATTTTTTTTTTTTGTTTTGGGTTTTTTGGTTGGTGTTTTTTTTTGTTTTTTACTTTTTTTTTTTTTTTTTTTTGGGGGGGGAAAAAAAAATTTTTTCACCCCCTTCCCCTTTTTTTTTTTGGGTTTTTTTTTATTTTTTTTTTTTTTTTTTTTTTTTTTTTTTTTTTTTTTTTTTTTTTTTTTTTTTTTTTTTTAATTTTAAATATAAAAAGAATTTTTTTTTTTTTTTTTTTTTTTTTTTTTTTTTTTTTTTTTCCAAAAAAAAAAAAAAATCTATTTTTTGTAAAAAAAAAAATTTTTCTCTTTTTCGTCGGGGGGGGGGGAAACATAAAGTAAAATTTATGTACGTAACGTAACGTATTTAAGTGAAAAGTTTGTGATGAGTGCTTAATTAACTTTGCAAAATATCTGTATGAATGTCCACAGTGCTTAGTTACAAAGGCAAGATTGCGAATAATTTACGCAGACGTTATCGTTTAACGACATGTACTAGCACGAAAGTGTGCATATCGCTATTTAGTATGTTATTTTAATAAGATTGCAAGTGACCAAATGTTGATATTTAGAAATTTTTAACAAATTTATAAGCTTGCCAGTGCCCAATATTGTTCATATTTAGTATGTTTTTAACAGTCTATAAGCTTGCCAGTGAGCAAATGTTGCTATTTAGTATGTATTTTTAACAATATATAAGCTCATTCAAGCATTTAATATCTTTATTATAACAGTCTTCTAAATCAGTAAAACGTCCAAACTAAAGAACTCGTTTCCTATCAAATTATTTGTGGCTTATCGTTTATCGTAATTAAAATTTATTTATTGATACATTGGTACATACAGAAAAAATTAGAAGATTTATTGTGACGCGCACTTATAGCCAAACATAACTAACACGGAGATAAAAAATACATCGATTCATAAATTATAAAAACCAAAGGAAATTTGATTTTTATCCAGACCTATTTCGTTAATCAGTTTGCTGAATATCATATCATTCTTGATATAATATTATATTTAAAACCCCTTTTACGGCTATAAACCGATCACTCGCTGTTCACAACTGCAGGAGAACCTTCGATGTATGTAAATAGCCTAATTACGCGTTTATCTGATAGTTAATTGCTTTCAATTAGTCAACAAAGTAGGTTCAGAATGTGCTTTATATGTAATCCAGTGTAATTATTTTTTTAGAAGGGGGTTACCATTTCTTACACGTGGTTTAATTATGTATTTGAATAAGGAACAAGATTTTACTTTTTTTTTTAATTTTGTTCATACATAGAGTTCCCTTCACAGAACACTGCACTGCACAGTGGCTGTTGGAATAAAATATATGAATTATATTATCGATAAGTGAATGTTTATTTGCCATCACTAGTCATTATCATAATTGTTATTGTACAATGTTTAGTGACCTAGCCCCGTTAGTTTTGAGGTTTATGCGTAATTGCAACAATTATTCCATTCCTTTTATCTAAAAGTATTATTTCATTGTTATTACAATTAAAAAAGGCAAAGTATTTTTTACTTGTAATGAGGTGTTTTGCAAGGTTTTAAAAATCGTTCAGATATTTTATTACTATATATATAAAGACTATATTATATTAAAGATAAACTTTGTAGAAATTAACATTTTTATATATCTATATATATATGTATATAAAAATATTATGTTGGTTTGTGTACGCTTCAAAAACTCAAAAAGTTTAGGACCGATCGAGCTAAAATTTTAGCATGATATATAATCCCGAATCCGCATCAAGGATTGTATTTTTTTTTTATTTTTTCATTTTTTTCCACAAGTATTGCAAAATTAAACTTAATGTTTTCTTTGTTTTGTTTCTCATTTCTCAACCATTCAATCATAATGTGCCACAGCGAAGCGTGGCAGGTAACAGCTAGTTATGAATAAAATTGCTATGGTTTGATTCTCTGTGGTACTGTTAGCTCTCATTTAGCACGGGTTGCCCGTCAATCTTAGAGAATGATTACCGTGTTTCGGGAATAGAAAATCAGAAGTTATAAGCCCCACTCCGATGCTTTAGTTAACAGTGCTGTAGTATTTTCTATAATCTCTAATTTAGATTCAAGAGCCTTATCTAGTTCCAAAAAATGCGTATACCGGGCGTAATATTGCAACATTTAATTTATGATTGCTATGTCTCCCTTCAATACGACTCCAAGTAATGTAACCTTCATAACAGTATTGTGTTTACAGTCCTTAATATATAAAAATAGTATTAGTAATCTCGGAAGCGGCAAGTTCAAAGCGGCAATATCTAATTAGTTCATTGCTGTATGAACCGTTCAAGAGTTATCAGTTGAGGAGTGATGTTTCTTAATTATTACAATTAGAACGATCCACGCGGTACTGTCTTTACATCGCCAATTAAATATATAAATTTGTTCAACAGTGCAATATGGATACAGGTGATGTTATGAAGTGTTTTTTGTTTATTTGTGTAATTCGTGTGTGCGTGATATGATAGGCCGCTGTAAAAATATAGGTCCCGTTATAAAACGTATATGAGCTTTCACGTATCTTAGCTAATATTTAGGAATTTTCCAGTATTTATATTTTTTTAAAGATAAAAATGGATACTTTCAGTGCTCTCGTGTCATTGATGGTAAGCGATATTTGATTAATACTGTGAGGTGTTATATGTGTTTCCTTTTTAACAAAACTCCGATGACATACGTACTATGGAAGATGGCGTTTAAAGGGTTGGTGTGACGTCAGCAATGACGTCATAGACACGTGTCTTTGATTAGTTGAGTCATTTTTATTTTTGTTTACGCGTTTGTGCGTAGTTAGTCAGCTATCAGTTGGCGGCTTCTTATATTAAGTGCGTTTTATAGTCGCTAGTCTAAGTTAAGATGACGTATGATATGAGTACTAGACGTCTAAAACCGCTGAGGTCCCAGTAGAATGCTGTCGTGTTGGAACTACTCGAGGTAGTTTTAGTGGGTGGCTCACGCGGTTCTTTGAGTAGCCGAACCTGCAGTGAGTCGAGTTACCCCTGCTGCTTTTAGTACTGCCCTGTACGTACCGCATGGTATTAAAAAGTGCGTTTAGGTGTAACTAATATAGTTCACCATTTATATAGTTAGACGTACATTTCTGTAAATGTATAGATTTTTATTACATATATGTTATTAACTTTTATCATTACAAACGTAGATTCAGAATACATTTTAAGTGACTTAAATATTATTTTTATATGTGTAAAATTAAAGATATAGTTAGATATTATATGAGAACCAATAACAATATATTATAACATTTGTATTTTATTCTTACGTAACATGGGGCAAACAGATAACGCATGAAGGGTATATATACTTAGGGGATAGATACTTCTAGAACCAGAAGCTTGTGTTTGATTTCCACTATTTCGTTTTATTCTTTACTTGTTAGGCAAGGAATGTTTATTTAGTCGTATTTTTTTAAACCTACTTTCAAAGTAAAGCAGTTGTTTTATTTTTAAATAACTAACAGAGGACAAACGGGCAGAAGGCTCACCTGTTGTTAAGTGATACCGCCGATGAACAGTCAATTCTGGGGGTCTCGTGAGTCGATGCCAGACTTTTAAGAATTAATAAATCCTTTTCTTGAAGGACCCTAAGTCAAATTGGTTCAGAAATACTTCAGTGGGCAGCTGGTACCACATAGTGTTGGTGCGAGGAAAAACTGTAATAAATAACGCTCAAATTATTAATTATAACCCAGTGTCTTATAACAGTAATAATTTAATGAACTTATAAACCAAACATATCAATAATTTTTTATTTAGATGACGTCCTACTTATAATCGTTAGTTTCGTAATAATGGTGATAAAGCAATAATTTCCTTGACATTGCGCAGTTTTGATTTGTTATTAATTTGATAAGACAAGGTACTGATTCGTCTAAATGCGAAATTTGTTTTAATTGTTGTTTTATCTGTTATTATTAATTGAAAGTTTCTGATTGTTCAACGGAATATTCCTAGAGTAATAAATTTAACTTAGTTATTATCTCGTCGAATAAATTTGTAATAAAGAACCGCTGGAGCTGGGATTTCAACGATGGGTTTTAGTCTAGCACATTTATACATGACTGCTCACGTGCCTATGCCTCTTAGGCAAAGTTCCAAAATTGTGACAAAAATCTTGCGTCAATTTGAGAGTATAAACATATTTAATCTTAGTTTATATTTATTAATACAGAAATAAACAAACGCAATCGTGATTTTGAATTTTGATTAAGTTTAAAGCGATAACTGTAGTCAAGTTTTAAAATTAATGAAATGAAATTACCTATTCTTAAAGGTGAATGAACGCGTAAAAGTTGAAATAAACTTATTCAACCATAAAGTCTTTAATAGTGTGGATTGATCTGTATTGCATGAAAGTACTTGCTTTTAGGAAGTTATATAACAGCAAATGGCTTCTTATTTGGCAATGTTCGTTTAACTAAACTTTATGCCTGTTAATAATTATTCAATCTGTCTCGGCCACGGCGGGTACTCTATTCGTATACGCAAATCTGTGCATAAGTGTGTGCACAGTGAGACAACAGTGGTCTGCTACAGTGGTAACACTTTTATACTACTTCGTATCGATGTTGGGAATTGATGGCATGGTCAGGCTTATGCTCATGGTACGTTATCACAGTGCCTCAGATGAGCACAGAAGCATTGCTCCATGTCAGCATCGTTACGTTATTTCAATAGCTATTGCGATATCTATTGAGTCTGTAAACCAAGACTACATTAATATTCCGTACAAAAACTTCGTATCGCTGTTGGAAATTGACGGCATGGTCAGGCTTATGCTCGTGGTACGTTATCACAGTGCCTCGGATGAGCACATAAGCACTGCTCCGTGTCAGCATCGTTACGTTATTTCAACAACAATTGCGATTGTTGAGTCTGTACACGCAGGCTACATTAATATCCATACAAAAACGTCGTATCGCTATTGCAAATTGACATGGTCCTGACCGCTTATGCTCATTCGAGGTACGGGAGAAATATTTTGTAAAACTTTATCCACTTTACACAGTTCTAACTAAGCATTTGTTTCTTTTCGTCATAGCGTGAATTCAATTTATCAGAAAGAGACGTAGTACAGAACCAACTAGTACTATATTGCGTGGGGTGTTAACCAAAAGTAAAACGGCTTAAAAGGCATTCATTATTATTTACTGGTAAAACGCCAAATTTAAGAAAAATAAATCGCACTGCACTGACCCAAATTAGTTTTACTGGAGGTCACAAAAGTAGGTTTTCTTAGGTATTATCTTTTGTTTGTTAAATGCGTGTGATCTTTTGTTTTAAGATAATCTGACGTAATTACGATAAAAATTACTCATGTCAAACTTAATCTGTAAAGTTCAATTTTACTGACTTATAAAAAGGAGATTTTATAGCGGCATTGTTCTAAAGGTTATTCCGTTCAACTTCGAAAGTCTAGAAGAATATTCGTGAGAAAAATTATTGCCATATATGAGATAGTTTGATAATAAAATGTGAATGAAATGAATAAGATTTTCATAAAATAATATTGAAATATGGTCGTTTGAATTTGTGCCAAACGGAGGCTTATCACTTGATTATTATCTTGAGTGTGACACAAAATCAGTGATTGTCAATTGACACATAAGATTTTCTATAGGAGTTCTTGGAAAATATTCTGAATATTTTAAATTTACATTCTACATTCTTTTAACCAAACTTGTAATGTACGCCATTTCTAAAGTTAATCCGTCTTCTGAGACGATCATTACAGAAATAATATTGTATATATTAAATATATAGTTAAAAAAGTACATATTTAATTGTTGTATTTCCTGTGAAGAACAATGGGCCTCTGACTTAGTTATTAAACAAAATTACGTTGATGGAAAAGCCGCTAATTGCTTTATAACAATATAATACCCTTTTATTAATAAGCAATTGTAAAACTTACTTCTAGAGAAGAGCGTACCTTAAAGGCCGGCAATGCATTTGCAAACCGCCTGGTACATAGACGGTAAACACTTAATTATGTCCTATAATATATGAGCCTGCTCGTTTGCCTCCTGTTCCATTATAAAAACCTACTTTTACCAATAATATTCCAATTAAATTATTTTTCAGATAAACTAAATTGTAGCTTAAGAAAATCATCTTAACAAAAAAGTAAATTTTAAATGTTCATTGTATTTATTTGTTTCCTTGTTACAGCTAAATCGCCTAATGTCAGAGATCTACGAGACGGTGACGGCTGCCTGCAATATGGACGAACACAAACCCGGCAGCTTCCCAACTGAACTGTCAGATAATACTAGCGAAGGTGATATAAAATTCTCGTAACCCAGTGTTTGTGATCGAACTCTTGCGATGATTTACTAGAAATAATTTAAATTTAAATAGCTGACCAAGCTAAAAGGCTTTAGCTTGGTTAGCTAGTAATTATGGATTTTTACTTAATATATATCTGCTAGATCATGACGTTTTGTTAGATCATAATTTTAGACGTCTGGATAATGGAAGGAAGAGATCAAGATTTTTTTAGAGAAGTTTATTCTCTAAAGAGAATATCTGAAAACGTTACTTGCTGACCATGCGGCATGCCCCGCTTTAGGAGTTTTTTGTTTTGATTACTAACCAATACTAACATAGCACCTAAGGCCGAGTTGTAAAACTCGAAATAAAACTACATATGGATATAATTTTGAATTAAATAAGTTATCTTAATCTTTGGTGGAAGGTGAAAGATTCTCTTGGTAAAACTCAAAATATCTGACATATTCGTTTGAAACTTTCAGAATCTGTCAAACTAACTCGCAGCCTAACAGAGAAGCGTAAAAACTACGTGCGTCGTGTCTCCTCCCGCGTGGCTTACATCGACCAAAATGTCAAGACCCGTTTTCGTCACCAGACATCTGTTTGTTCATACAAATCAGATCTAGACACGTACTCCACTTTCCGCTCGTGGAAGAGTTTTAGAACATCACAAAATAATTTAGCCAAAATGACGGTAGACACAGATATGCCAGATGCAGGCGATAACTTGAGTATAGATGAGAAAACTGGCTGCGTCGATTTGGCTCTGCCCTTCGAGGCAAGAGAGAGAGGATTATTCAATGTTTGCCTGCTTGTTGGGTTGAATTATATGACTGGGCAGGCGTATGTGAAGAGTGTGTTTCCTAGTCAGGTAAGACGTGTTCTTCATATCCGTTAAAGTCAGGATAATAATTTGTTTATGCTTATTCTGTACCATGTAAAACGCCATCTATGCGGCGACCTTCGAACTACGCAAGTGTAGTACGACGCACTAGCTAATTAACATGTTTTAGATAGTGTTTTGTTTAGTTTCTGCAAAACTTGAGGTTAAGGAATGCTTTGAAAACACCAAAAAATACTTTTTTAAAGTTATTAAAAAAAAACTTTGCAGGTCCAAGTCCCTCCACATATAGAGAACCTAATTTTCCCAGAAACACTAAGTGGCTCTTTAGGGGAGTGGTCGGCAGAGAGGGATGCCCAATGTTATTCGCTGGTGCTCACTGATGAGAAGGGAGAACGGGCTTATGGGTGAGATAGTGTTTAATCTAAAATGAGCATTTTTAAATCTGGCAGTGGCAGTTTCTTTTGTAAATACAGAACATTTGATAAATGTTGCTATACTTCTTGAAATTACCTTCTGTAAATATTTTATTAATAAATTGCAATTTATTGAAAAACATAATTTCAGCGTGATATCACAATCCAATCCTAACGTTTGCCTTTATATAAATATATTCAATTACAGTTATTGTCGCCGAGTGTTACCAGAGGGCGCCACAACATGTCTTCCCTTAGGATACTGTCTCATTGGGAAATATAGAGCCCCTGGATTCTATTATAAGGTGCGTGATAAATAATTTGGAGACGATTTTGCATATAGTGTCCAAGCCCCGAACTCTATTAAGTCAAACATTGGAGCATTGGTTGTAAAATACTCTGGTTTGTTGAGAAAATTATTATTTCGGTTCGTAGATACAAAGTGATAACCACCATTAAAAGATACCCTTAAGAAAATTTAGCCCCAATTCCCAAGTCTTCCATGTGGCAACTACGAAACTTTATATACATACTAGCTGACCCGGCAAACGTCGTTTTGGCATGTATATTATTTATAGAAACATTTTTTTAGTTTAATAAAAATAACTATCTACTATAATAAAAAAATAGGGGTTGATCGTAGAGGGGTAACAATTAGGATTGCATGTATTTTTGTATGCTGTATCATAAAAAAACAAAAAGTTTGTGTGGGACCACCCTTAACATTTAGGGGGATGAAAAATAGATGTTGTCCGATTCTCAGATTTACTGAATATGCATAATTAATTTCATAAGTATCCGTCGAGCCGTTTCGGATGAGTATGGGAACGAACGTTGTGACACGAGAATTTTATATATTAGATTGATGTTGCAAAAATCAAATAATAAGGAAGGCGGGTCTTATCGCTTTTGATATCCAGACTACCTTTTATGGAAAAATTAAATTAAATAATTATATTAATTATAGGCTATATCAATTATTAAATATTTCAGATTCTTCAAGAAATCGAATCGCATCATGGCAACCCCGAGATTGAGCTAAACCAGGTGCTACAGCAATTGTTCGAAACCGATTTTCCAAATCCTGGCGAACAGATAACCATAACATACAATAGGACAGAAAAGGGGACCGTAAAGAATACTCAAAATGTTTTCAAAAATAGAACCTTACCAAGAAAGGGTGAGGTCTCAATAAATATCAGCGTTAAAACTGAGTCTGTATCCGATGATACGAGTGCGGCGGAATGTATTGAGAAGGAGAAAGAGAAGGAGATTGTAGTAGATAAGGAGAGTTTGGAGAAACATGAGTTGCCGGAGTTTTATGATTTGGAGAATAATAACAGTCCGAAAAGAGTTATGATTTGTCTTGAGAGTCCAAGGTAAGTTAATTCATTTGTGCAATCAAACTAAAAATTAATAACAAAATCAATCAAACAATATTTACTTATATATTTCTTATAGGTCAAAGTTAATGGATTGATACTATATAGCTAACTGGATCATAATTATTGGCAAAATGGACATTAATAAGTTTCCAGCCCTATTGTCTTAAGAACACTCGCCAGTTTAATTTTCTGTATTAAAACTGAAACATTGAAAAATTGAAACCGTGCTGGCAAAACTATAATATGTACAAGAACGCTCAGACCATTTTGAATGAAATGGAACCTATTTAGGGGGGAACAGTGCCTTAGTAAATCAATGGGTTCCAAATGGCATGGTCTTTTTAACAATGGTAGGGAGTCGATTAAGACCCCGCTCAGAAGCCAGTTGAGGCCACCACATCAGACATCGTCGCAAAAGTGGAAAAATTGCCGGAGGACACCCTTTTAAGAAAAAGTTATCTGCAATTGTTTGAAGGTCTTTGATCGCCAATTTTGCATAATCCAAATCGACCACCTGGGCATGACAGAAGTGCAGTGCAAGATGGGTACCGGAATGCATACAACGCTTCAAAAATAACAGCGCGTTGAATCGTCAAAACCTTCTTGGTTAGCGATAATCCTTGTTGATTTTGAATATTTTACAACGCGATGAAACATGGATTCATCACTTCGAGCCTGAGTCCATAGAAGAGTCCACGCAATGGCTGATGGGGACAACACGTCAAAGAAATTAAAGTGTCGGAGTCGAGCTGGAAAGTTAGGCTACTTTTTGGTGTTAGGGACATTATACTGATGATTAAAGGAAAAGGGGCAGTACCATAAGGATAATACTTCGCTACAATACTATAAATTTAAAATGCATCAAAGTAAAACGTTGGGAAAATTAACTAAAAGGTGATGCTCTTCCCCCGCAAGACAACGCGCCGGTTCACAATGCAAAGTTGCAATGGCAGTCTACACGCATGGCTTCGAATCACTAGTCCTCACCTTAGTAGATCTGGCCCCAAATGTTTGTTATGTCGTTGTCCACTTTAAACAAACGTACGGGAAGGAAATTTCCGACCATTAGGTAGGCAGGCATTTTGGTCTTTTGAAGACAAGTTCTTACGAGGTTTCGAAACAAATTAAAAGTCTAATAATCTATTCAGCTTAAGATATATTGAAAAGGAAAATACATTTACTGTTTCAATTTATAGTTAACTGATATAACTACTCAAAGGGGAATTAAAGTTTAAGAATAGCAAATGGATGGAAAAGATATTGGAAACTGAGGTGGAACACGAAATTACCACAGTATTTAAAACCCTATTCAGCAAATTAAATAAAAGGCCACCCAAACCGTCTCCTAACAAATGTTATCCGATACCGCTGCCTTAGCATTGGAGAGGGCTCGCAAGCTTGCCGGCACTTTTAAGCAGCACTGGTTGATAGGTCTTTGACGCCTCAACTTCCAAAGAGCCATGGAAGAGGTGCTTGCTTAATAAGAAAATACACGTTGAATTCTAAACCATCCGTTATTGAAAATCGGACATTAAGCGTTGAGCACAGGTGCTGGTACTAGACTAGTGTCTACCGAGCTAAGAATTTTGACCCCAATTAAAGGGATCGATGGACGGGCTCTATATTTTGAACGCGAAAATAGCGACCCATGAAAAATGGGTAGCAACAACATGTTGTTAGTGACCAGCTGGTACCCTAGGGCCCGTAACAAGATGTTGGTACGTTACTACTGGCAAGGAGAGTAGGAGGATCAACTTGTAAATAAACAACAGGTTCCACTGTTGTAAATAGCTAAAAAGATTTTAAAACACCTGCAAAGCGTTAAAGTCAAGGAAGTCCTTTTTAGGTCAAGAGTTGCAACAATTAAATCCAGATAATACTGGTAATAAATAATACCTTATTCTTTTTGACGTACAAGTCTAATAATGATGAACGCCGACTACACGCACTAAAGAGCATGACTCATTGTCCCGTTACGCTTACTTCCCGTTAGACTCTCTCTTCACTCGAAGACATAAATACAATCATTTCAAATTTGTTATGACGTTTCAGTTAAATTTTAAACGACAGGCTATATTATTATTATTATTATTATAAGTACGAGTCTTGCTCGTAATATTTATTTAGCCAATAGAACATATTATATTTAGAATAAAAACAAATATAGGCAGCCTATTTCTGGGTATAAACTTGATATTAGAATATAAATCTATTGCTGCACATGCAGGCTTTGTGGAGGATGGATGGTGTACTGTTGATCCAACCTAATCCGTGACCAGTCTAACCACTGGCCCGTAGGCCCCAGTGGCTAATACCGAGAAGTTCTATATATCCTTAGCGGGTCTTTGTTAACGCGTTTCAGGGTGTGACGTCATAGTTGTGATTTAAGAAGCGCAAATTGTAAATGTCGCTACAGGTTCAAACCCACGACGTCATAGTCTGCAATAACAGACTTAAACACTAGCTAGGAGTTAACTATTGTTATTATTGGACAAGAGATAAAAACACCAAACAACTAGTACTCGGGTCAAATATATATAATTATTTTTAATTTTAACCATCTGCAATCAGCCTCTTGGCTTTTATCAGATTTTATGACATGATGTGTTTTGACGTAATTAGGGAATGCAAATCCAATAATTTGTTTCCCTTTGTAACTCGCAAACTATCAAACTGCGGCAAGTCTCGCCCTTCTCAGCCGAAACACGCACTCTGCCGTTTCCAAGAAGCCTGAGGATCAAATATATGGGTAGAATTTTATTCACCAAAAATGTTTTTTCCAGCATCGTTTCCTCGTGTATGGAGGCCCTACAAAGCGCTCTTTACCCCTTCGTGTGGCAACAGCCTTTAATATCCACCATACCAGCTGAAATCCATCGAGACGTTTTGGAGGCACCTTTGCCCATACTTGCTGGGATGATGAAATCACACGATTTTGATACAAATGTGCTGTTTGAGGAGGTAATCATTTATTATTTAATATCTTTTCTTTTGTTTTTATAAAAGAATGTTGTTTACAGCATAGTCTGTACACTATTATGACTTTTTTTTTCATATCCAATAATCGTAAACAAATAATAAAACAATCTGAGTTTTAGTATATAAGTAGAAAACATATGTATTTGAAAAAATGTTCCAATTCTTAATCCTACGACAGTTTACAATTTTACTAACGGTGTTATTAATAAGGTTTGGTTGTAATTTTAGTTATATCTTTTAAACTTAAAGTCTGAAATTCTGATTTTTCCAGGGCATGTTAATAGATTTAACCAACCCAAATAAAGTAGTATTTTATCAAGGAGACGAATCCACAATTTTACCGACACATTGCTATAAAACTCTCAAAACATCACTAAACATGGAGACAAACAAACAAAAGGAGAGACAGGATACGAAAACGAGAAATGTCATGATATCTGAGGCGTTTTTACGGTTTTTCGTCGATATTTTGGGAGAATTTTCCAAGTTTTTCACTGAAAGAGAACTAAAGGATGGCGAGTTGGGAAAGGATGGTGTTGTTTTTGATGTAAGTGTAGCTTAGGCTTGAATCAGCAACAGTACTCAGTAACTTCCAGCGATAGAAATATCGACGCCGACGTTCTTGCTTGCAAGTTCGATGTAGAACAAAAACTCATTATTGAGATAAGCATCGCTGTCGGTATCACTATTGGAAGTTGCAGAGTAGAGGCATTGTCGGCCTTGGTTTGTCTTCGCAAGACCTATATTCATTTAAAAAAAAGGTTATCAGATGGGTATTTGTATGTATTTTTAAAGGTTCTAAACCTATTGCCAACTTAATTTCCCGGATCTATAGATATATCATTACGCACTTTGAGGTTGTTCAAAATATCTGCAGTCTATTATACAAACCCACTCATGCATGTGTGCTCATCTCTGTTCATCACAACGTTAACACTATTTGTTAGAAAGAGACAAAGGAGTACTATTTTTAAATGCACATAAACTGATTATTTCTTTACGAATGTATGCGCATTGGGACTTTTATATGTAGAGTTCAAGTTATCAATTATATCATCAAATATATCATCAAATACTGTAATTTAATATTATATTTAAAAAGAGAAATTCAGTGTATTTAGCGTTTTAATGTTTTAATTAATTTTTACAGAAAGAAGCATTTATCAAACAAACATCGTCAAAACAAAACCAATTCTTCTTAGAGTGGTTTACTGAAACCGCCATGTTCACACATTTCATTCAAAACATGGCAGTCTTCCATAAAAAACCAACGGATAACGACTCGTTACTGGTGGACACACCTCTACCGAACTTTTACGAACTTTTTAACGAGCGAGTGAAAAGTAGGAACCGTGCTAGTTCGAAAATAAGTGAGAAAAACTATAAAAGTGCAGTGAACAAGAAAGTTAAACTCTTAAAGACAAAGTTGAGAGATTTAGTTGCGTAATAAAACTGTATCTTAGCCTCTGCGGTTAAAGTGCGGGTTTTAACCGCCTAAGTACTTGTTTTTACCGCGAGTGACTTGTGACTGAAGATAAGATTGATTCAAGTCCATATTAAGAATGGCTGGCAATATGTTCAAACAGAGAGAAATCGTGGTTAATTCCAAACGGAATACAAGAAGCCTCGTGGAATATATTGAATTCCTCAAGCGTAATCTGTGTATTTGGTTGTGTACTAAATGTAATATTTAGTATTAACTGTGAGAGATTTTAAAGCCATCATAATTTTTCTATACATAGTTTCAAACCAGTACATTTATCTTTAGGTAATTTATTTAATAACACGTTAAAACAATTACAAAAAGCGTTTATTGGCCATAATTTATTATTTTGTCTTTAACATTAAAGCAAGTAAAAAAATGTCGAAATAAAAGTATTTTTGTAATTATTATATATACTTGAAATTTTATTATTCTTAAACGTATTACAGCTTCAAATGTTCTGAATTTATCTGTCTCGTGTAGTAATAGTGTTGATCACCTCTGAGACGTTGTCACCACACATTGCGTATACCCAATTGTAACGTGTAGTTATAACTAGGTTTCCATTTTCCAAACGTTAATTTTGATTAAATATTTACAAAATCCCAGACCAGATACAGAAATCTGAAGTAAATATGGGTTGTAGCGGCATGGTTTTTTTTTGGGGCAAAGATGGATCACGTAAATGCCTTAAAAAATATTTATTAAACAGCTGCTGAATTGTATTCTTCATCGGTGAGTGCTTCAAATAAGAGCTTTTGAACAAAATTTTACTGTGTAAGATAACTCCAAATGAAAGAATATTGTAATACTAACGCGGATTTTATGACGTATAGTCAGCGAGAGAATCCCTATATTCGTTGAAGATGTTGTGTTTGAATGAATATGTTTATTTTATGTCATGACTTAGCTTATGAATGAACCGAGTAGGTGACTTTTTCCATGTTTAGATTATGTAAATAGTGTAAATAATGTCCTAATAAATCCATTTATACCCACCTTTTAATTGTGCAGCAAAAATAAACCCTTAAACCGACTTTGTGTATATTTGATTCCTCACTAACAACTTTTATTTTATAAGAATGTATGTATTACAAAAATAAGTTAAAAACGTTTCGTTTCATTGTGATTGGTCAAATGGAATTGTGTATTTAATTGAACTATTGGCCAATGAAAATTAAACGAGATATTCTATAATTTTGTCTTTTGTTTAACGTTGTTAATTTCGATATTTGAAACATGCTTATTTATAAACGTTTAAATCTAAATTGTTTTGTTACCTATTAAGTGATACAGTGTGAAAAAAATAATTCATTTATTAAAAAGTGTACATAGTACACAAAGTACTAAAACAGTGGTAATCTTTGTGGTAAGCTAGCAGTGTTTTTGTTTTACATTCCTCTATACCCCAGTGATATTTTTAAAAAGATCTGTTGCTAGAATTTTTTTATTTTCTGCTATTATGATGTACGAGTGTATTTATATTTTGCAACCACCTGAAATTTGAAATTTCCTTAGTTTTATGTCCGAGTTTAAGTCATTCATACTTAAGAGATACTTAGTTCTTCCATTCGTTATATTCAGACTCCATTTTTAGCAACTTTTAAATGTGATTGACTTGTGTATCGGGCAATATGCATATTAATGTGACACAAATGTTGGTGCCTTTAATTGATAAGTTTTATTCCACTTATAAATGTGCATATAAAAATATATTTTCTTGTATTTTAATGTTTTATGAGACTGTATTTTCGATTAAGAATTAAATTTATTAACCTTTTATGTGTTTTATCATGTCCCTTAAAATACATTTTGTTTTTTTTGTGTTATATATACACAACATTTCTTAGGCCTTATGTAACGTTTAAAATCGTTAAATAGTTTTGGTAAAGTCAATTTCGCGATGGAAGCCAACTATTAATCAACCGAGTTGATTAATGACTTGTCGTAATCGCTGTTAAATGGTTCATAACAGGGCTGTCAAAAAGTAATTTCGTAAAATTAATCTTTTGAAAAGCATCGTTGATGGAAAGTGGCGGTCCTATTTACAGTTTTAGATGTGGTAACATTTAAAAGTGAGTTTTTGGGTGAGAATTACAAAAATTAACCATTTTCAACGAAGAGAGATTCGAATCGGCGACGACAGTCACTTTCCGAGCGGCTGGATATCTTGTTGCGTAGAGATGTGGGGTCTCTGCACACTGCATTTACTATGGAGAGTGATCAGAGGTTATAATCGGAGGTTATAAACGCTCATTTGTGGATTGACGTACAGCGTTTCTTAAGGAATATTTGCCGCGCACCACCACTATGTGAAACTAGATACCCACTGAACTATTTCCGAACCAATTCGACTCAGGGTCCTTCAAGAAAAGAGCGTAACAATTCTTGAAAGACCAGCAACGCACTTGCGAGCCTTTTGGCAATGTGAGTGTCCATCACCTAACATCAGGTGAGCCTCCTGCCCGTTTGCTTCCTGTTATATAAAAAAAAGATATCTGCTTTACATTGAAAGGGTTTTTACGTTATCGTCGCCATCATCATGCTTTTTCTCTTCTTAAAGCATGTCAAAAAAATACGAGAAGCAAAATTTCATTGCCTAATAAGTACAGTATAAAATGAAATAGTGGAAATCTAGCTGAAACTTCTGGTTCTAGAAGTAACTATAAAATAGCCTTCACGTTTCGTAGTGAGCCGTATCCTGAATCAAGATTAATTGTAACACTTGACGAAATTATAATGAAAAAAGTTACCATGTTTATTATATAATAGTTTCATCTTTGCCACCTTTGTGAACTTTTGGTTTCAATTTCATTTTGGAAAGAATGTAGACAGAAAGAAAATAAAGGATTACAGTTCACATTTTGTTACTTAATATTAGTCTTTGATTTGATTTATTGCGAAATTATATACCTATGACTCGCTTTTTTGCTTGAGATAGAGAAATAAGTCTAAATTCGCTGGCATTATAAAAGTTAATAAGCAGATAAGTTCAATAACTTGATGTTATCTGCAAAACAAATTACTTTAAAGCACCGTTAAATTTAATTTCATGCATCATATTTTTGCAGTCATAATGTTATGTAATTTAAAATGATATTCGTAAACTAGCCTGCCCCGGTTTCGATATTAATTGAAGGTCAAAATGAGTTTGTTTTTTTAGCGCAGTCCATTACAAAGAATGCAAGTCCCACAAGTAATTAAAACGTAAATCTTTTATCGTATATATTGTAACACCGGAAAATTTAATTAAAATAATAAAATGTGTTGCAAAACAATGCATTATAATGTCACAAGATTTGGGAACTGTTTTAAGTAAAAATTACCTGTGTCAGGGTTTCCAGCTCTTCCATAAAAAACTTAGTAGTTTATATATAGCTTCGGCGGGATGAACCATAGAGTCAAGTGTTTTTACAAATTAAATATAGGTAATTTGGAGAATTGAAATATAATTACTACACATTCGCGTAAATATTGGGGCGGTAGGTACGTTTTCGCCTTACTATTCAGTTGTATGGATGCGCTAATGATGTAAATATACCCAACTTCATAATTCATTACGCCATTAAGAAGATCGTCTATAGTCTATACGATGAGGTCTATGGACACCTTGAGCCTCATTTTTAACCGACTTCAAAAAAGGAGTAGCTTTTCAATATGACTTGTAATTTTTTTTAGTATTTAAAATATAATAGATTAAGGATCGTCAAAGCTCAGCAACGTCTACTTTAAATCTTAGCCGAATATTTTCTGATACAACTTTTTCCTACAATCTGAGATCTTAAGCGACCAATTAATTAAATATGTAAATCGTTCTACTAATTATATCCTCGAATTATATGTGTTACAGCGAATTTATTAGCTACGGAAACAAGTTTTGTAATACGATACCACGAATATATCATTTTGTCACCAAAATTGTTGAAACGTTCAGAAATGAATTAATATATACCTATGTGTACCTATTGTAGCCCAGTCCATTGTAATGAATATGTAGATAATGTGTAGCAGAAATTTCTTTGCCAAAATTTATACTTAAAAATAGATAATTTAGGCTGAGAAAACCAAAGTTATGACCAATTTCAAGAAGGAAATAATACTAGTAAACAACAAACAGTATTATAAAATATGTAGTAATCAGACAATATCTATGACTGATGTAGCAATAAAATACATCGACACAAGAATAGCAAAATCATGGAAGAGCTTTTGGGCGCTAAGAGAAGCCATGAGATATAAGACAACAAGCATGGTAATTAAAAGGAAGCTTTTCAATAATTGTGTTCTACCTGAACTAACGTATGGAACCCAAACTTGGGCGCCCACTAAAGCACAGCATACAAAAAGGTGTGTCAAAGATAGATGGAACGATGTATGATAGGGAAGAAAATAATAGACAAAATAAAGAATACCTACGTCATTAAGAAGAATAGCTAAGGTAGCAGATTTCACTACGGAATTAAATAAACTTAAGTGGAAATGAGCTCACATGGCAACAGAACAGTGGAGCAGTATTAAACTAGTGCCAAGGTACAACAAACGTAAAAGAGGAAGAAAATTCAAAAGGTGGATAAACGAGATTAAGGAAATATTAGGTGGTACATGGCAGAGAGTGGCCCAGCGCAGACAGGAAAACAGCCTTTGCCAAAAAAGGACACAAATACATCTACAAAGAATGAGATGATAGAAATTTAAATTTATTTAAATGTAAAGTGTCTGAAATAAAAGGGTTTTATTATAATTAATTTAGGTCAACTTACGTATAATTGTAAGGTACAAATTATGTTGCGATATAATTATAATTCTAAATATTTTCTAATAATTATAATAGAATACAGTGTTTCTAAATACATATATTCAATGTTTTATTATAAATTATTGATAGTAAAATGTCATATATTAATAGTTTCTCTTATGACTTATGCACCCAGGAACATACATAATTTATACAAGTATTATTTACG